GGGAAGAACCTCGAAGTGGGCATGGAATGAACAGGAAGAAAGGAACAGAGGAAACTGGCGTTTTTACTTTCCTGAAGCCTCAAAATCCGATTTTCTCTTCATTTTGAAGGAAAAAAGAAGCAGGTATTTGGGAATTAATGACAATAGTAAAGAAAGTGGGTCCTGAGTTACATACTAGTTCTGAGATTGTGAACCACTTTGACTCTTATTTTGTAGTTTCTTAACCGAAAATGATATTGTGGGGAACACCTAGTGAGCACCTGACCATTCATATAACAAACGCACATGTGTAACCGTGTGCACCATGGTTACCATCTGGGAGAGTCTCGGGGGAATGAGGAAAGATGCGGCCCGGCCCCAGGAGCTGGTAATCCAGTGGGAGACGCAGGATATGCAGATGCAGCCTGGGACAGAGCCAGCCTTGTCTCGCCTCCCAGATGTGGGAGAGCCTTTGGCAGCAGTGGGTCAGAAGTTGCAAGAAAATAAGGTTTGGCCGGCAAGGTGGGGGCTGAGGTGGGGGCTCAGTGATCCATGTCACAGCTGATGTGCCTTGTGGGCAGGGCCATGTCTAGAGCGTGCTCCCTGCCTTTTTTTTTTAATCCTCATCCATGGATATTTTTTCCATTGTTTTTTATTTTTATTTTTTTAGAGAGAGTAGAAGGGGGAGAGAGAAGCATAGACTTGAGAGAGACACAGTGATTGGTTGCCTCCCAGGGCTGGGGATTGAACCTGCAACCAAGGTACATGCCCCTGACATGACCTGACCAGGGGATGGAACCCGCAGCCCATAGTTCACAGGCTGGTGCTCTAACCACTGAGCAACAGCGGCCAGAGCTCCCCTGGCTTTTTGTGCTTTCCATAGCCACGAAGAACTTACTTGGTTCCAGAAACGCTGAGAGAAAACGCTTGCAGCCTTGCTGAGCTCCTTCAGTCCTGGCCCGAGGCCTGTGCGTCTGGATTTAGTCCACAGCTCGGACCCACAGCCCGCACAGCCCCGCTGTGACCCTTGCCTTTCTGCAGATAGGCGCTTGGGCGCACGTGTGGTCCCTTTTGTCAGAATGGGCTGCTGGCAGTCTCACCAGCCCCGGATCTGACTTGGCTGTGCTGGCGTCCGCTCTGGAATATTCCCCGAGTCTGCTCTCCTCATGATGCTGCTGTAAGAAGGCCTGTCGTCCATCAGCGTAGTGGACAGTTATTCAGTGTGATCTGAGAGCCAGGATCTCAGAGGTCGCCCACTGTCAAGGGAGCGGCAGGGGGAGCAGCAGGACTGAGTTTCATCCAGAAAGTCAGGGCAGGCCCAGGAGTTGGAAGAGGGTGTGCGAAGGTGGAGAATTCGTCGCTGCTCACTCTGGGTGTAGAGCTCTCTTGGGATAAGGGTAGCTTTTTCTCCAGGAAAAGAAAAGAGCCCTGGAAAACATGTATTTTTCTATTTTTTCTATTGTTACAGCCACATAAAGGCAAAAGCAGAAAATAATAAGTGGACCAAAAATGTATGAATATGTGTTGTATGAATACAGTTTCCTGTGAAGGTGCAATATCTTGACTAGAAAACACTATGTATTAAAATAGACTTTGTGTTAGGGTGTTAAAGATTTTTCTCAAGGTCAAACCCGGAGAAATAAGATTTTTGGTGGCAGCCCTGCCCTAGAGACTCATAATGCCCTACTTTCTGCTAAGAGATGTTTGGGGATCTCTCTCCCAGCTGCACGGGACTTCTCAACACATTTCGAGGGCTTTTAGACCAAAAAAACCAAAGATTGCATTTCTTATGTAAATGTGCCTCGGGGTATCAAGTGTCATCTTACTTATGATTTGAAGTTATTTTTAACATTTTGCTAAGCAGAACTTGAATTTTGTTTTCCTTAATGGTAATTACCTATGTATTAGTAATGTGTATTTGGAGTAAATTATATTTCCAGAATCTGTATTGGAAGTAAAGTTGCACAGCAGTGTAAATTTTTGACAGTAAAAGTTACTAATGCGTACACTTATCAGAATGTAACTTACTGCCCCTTGTCCTAATGAGCTAATTGCAAGATGATTTTATGAAGGACAACTCGAGTAGTACCTTATTACTCTTAACATTTCCTCCTGCATTTACGCGGGGTGGTCATTTAACACTGTGTGATAAAATGCTCACACCTGGAGTGGGGAATAGGCATTTTCATTCAGATTAAGTCTATTTTATAAAGAACTTTGTCCAAATGTGCAGATTCCCTAATGAGTAATGTTTGCATGGGATCTTCCCAGGACTAGCGACTCTCGTACCCGATTTCAAAGTTTACTTGTGATGTCGAATGTCTTTCACACTAACTGAAGTGTTTGTGTATTTGCTCTTCTGTCCTGTTTTTGCTGTTTCTCTGCTTTAGAGATTCAGAATATTCAGAGAGCTTCTTTCTATGACAGTGTTTCTGGTCTTCATGAGCCACCAGGTGAATGTATAAAGCCTGTAGGTCTTCCAAAACGGAAGGGTCCTAAGCCCACAGGAAGAACTTGCGGGGGGCTGGCAGGGCGGCCGGGCGGGCAGGGTAGAGGGATGCGGCTGGTTTCTGTTTTTGTTTCGCTCATAGACCTGCATGAACCTTTCATTTCATGCTCAGTTTTATTCTACTTCAAGGCAACTGTTTGAGTGCATAAACAATTCAATTGCTACTGCCTACACATCGCTTCTTCTTTTATGCATAGCCCTTGCAGCACTGCATATAAAAGGTATGTCACTACCTTTTCCAGTAGTGCCGTTTTGATACACAGCCCTCCAAGGGAATGGTCAGGAATTGATCTGCTAGTAATGTCTTCTTTGTCTCTGAGTTACCG